TGCTTACACATGGCGTTCAACTCGGGCTTGACGTGAGCGCTACTTGATAAACTTAGGATAGTCTATATGAAACTAGCTACCATTCCACGGTTAGTGCTCTCTGCAACATTCTTGGTCACACTTCAGCACTTCCCTCACCCTCCCTAACCAATCGGCTTACAGTTAGTTATTCATCAGTGTATCACTGAGCTGCAGTGATGGTCTTTGAAATCGAAATGGGAATGTGAGGTGAGCAGATATTGATAAAATTAGGATTACTCGTATTCGCGCAAGCCTGAGTAGTACCTTGTTTTAGTCACCACAATTTCATCAAGAAATAAATCGTCACATTGTNACATTGTCACATTTACTGTCCTCCATTGTTTCCCTAATAAATGTTATCGAAAGACCGCCTCATTTCGGTCAATGCTCTCATCCCGAGTTAATTGTTGAGTTCGCCACAGAATCAGCTCTGTTGGCTAAAGTTTACAGTTTTATCCGTAAAATAGCTGTTCGTCTTGGATTGTATTCCGTCAGCTTTTGCTGTGGAACAAAGTGTGCGGCCTCAAATTTAACCTACCAACTAAACCTGCGTTGTCATTCCGGGACTTTTTCGATCACATCGATTTCTGATAAATTTCTTCAAACTTCGATGATTTCATCTGAGATTACGCATTTTTAAATCATTTGATGGATTACAGTCGAAACTCTGACTGACCAGTTGGCTACCTCTTATACAGTTTCGTTACCTGTTGGATCGATAGGTGCAATCAATGCCAAGTAACTATGGTGTTCACTTGATTTGCTCAGTGAGGTTTTTATCTGGTATATCAATTCGTGGTGCTCGTGGACACGATATAATCTGAAACCCACATTTTCGTCGAGATCAATAGCCATTCCACAAGCCTAACAGATGTGAGCTCATCTAGTCGGGAAATGTTTGTGAACAAAATACGGAGCTCGGCGAAGTTTATTTAGTCGGGCAATGGATCCGATTTGGATTATGTGTTTGTGTAGCTATGATGTGTTATCTGAGACAGTTATGAGCATTGTAGCGAGTTCCGGAAGATATATCACGCATGTTAGTCGAGGGTAAATTTGGATTTGAATTTAATCTGCAACCTCCGAACGCTCCGTAGAGTCGCTTTAAGATATCTCGAACCGTGTGTTTTCCATGTCATAGTTGAAGTGTGCGAGGAGTTCTTTCCACCATCTATCTACCGCCTATATGTGGTGTATTTTCTGATGGCGAAGTTAACGAAATTAGTGAAGCCTATGACGATCAACTGGGTTTGCCGCATTCTGAGTCTGTACAATCGTTTTACGACCTAATGTCCTGGATGGTGCCAAGTAATCTTGATACCTTTCAGTACCTTCAGTCCTCTTCAAAACACCGATTTTTCATATCCCTCTGTAACCTGTTTGTTTGGCAATCTAACCCCAGCAAAAAGGTGGATTTTCTGCGAAAGAATTCACCTCAATGCCTAAAAGTGGACGATCGAAAGCCTCATTCTCACCTTTAATACGAGTTGAACACGCTATATAGCTTTAATGTCGGTTGTTTCTTCCCACTGGTCCGATATTTTGTAGTTCAAAATTTGGTTGACTGATGCCCTTTTGTCCAGAAGGCAAGCAATAAAATCTGTTCTATCGGTTTTACGGGTCAGCCGATTCGTCTGAACACTGCCAAAATGGCAACTATTACTAGTGTACTCGTCATCGTTTTGACAAGAGGACAGATGTGAGCGCGTGAAAGTCAATATTTACTCTGTCGAGATGTATCAAACAAAGCCAAACAAGTTTCGAACATCAGTCATCAGGGTGTGCTTCTCTTCAACCCGGATTCCGTAACATGTGATTCATGTATCTTTATCCATCTGTTCTCGTCGGTCTACACACCAGCATACAGCTGCTTTTCAGTTCAGTCAGAGCGTGAGACTCTACACCCCCAGTCAATCCGCTTGCCGCGTGCTTCTCTCTCTGTCTCTCATGGTGTCATTCGCATGTGCACCAATCGGTCAAAGGTCGTATACTGATCACGATAAAACCATCCAGGTTCATTCTAAATTGATATTGAATCACGAAGTTGCTGCGATCGTCCGGGAGCTAAGTTGAATACACACCATCAAATGAAAATGCAACTAAATAGCGATCCGATTCAAGCCATGCGGAAATGTAGCATTTTATGCGGTGTTAATGTGATTAATTGGTAAAGAGGGAAATACTTCAAAATGTGTCGTACTGTCTCGCACGTCGCTTCACCGAGGATGAGTCGGTTAGGCTTGCCTCTGAACAATTTTCAATGGCACGCTTTTGGGTTATTGGAGGAAGATAATTTACTCTGCGGTTTTGCAGCTTTTCAGAACGAAAATTGGAGACCGTGGACACCTTTTTCTAATATAGGGTTTCCGAGAGAGTGGATGAATGTTGGCGTGTAAATGTAATCCGTGTTAAAGAAACGGGATTGCCGCCATGAAGGCCGTTGCAGATGGACAATCAGTAGTGGTGATGTTATTAGCAAAAGGTTAGCTACGGTTTGATTGTAAGCTGGTAGGATGTGACTCATGGCTTGCGTTCAATCTTATGCAGATGCGTTTTCGGGACAATGAAACCAATAGCCATTTGATTGGTATTTAACCAAAGAGTATTCAGTCTATTGACTGACCCACAGTTCCACTGACGGGTACTCGAAAATCCCAGTGCATCAGTTTACCTCATTAATTGTCCTCTTGTTATTGATCAATCAAATGGATAGTCCAAAGATAGAGGCACAACAGTGTACGGGAACTCGAAATTAATTATTCTGCAAACAGATCGACTCGTCGTCCCCCTTGATACTTTGTGGTATCAAACCAATTGTCGCGGATTTGTAGTAAGTGATGCGATTAAGTTATTGTTGTTATGCAGTTCCCGATAGACGACTGCATCGGAAAATGTTCATGACTTATGGCATCCTGCTTCCGAATAATTACCTCATCGTAACTCGGTATTCATAGAGGTCCTTTGATATGAATACGCTAGTGGCTACTGAACGACAATGAGATCAACCAGTCACATTTTCCATAGCTACAGTTGTATAATTTGACCTGATTTAGACCACTGGACGGGTACAAACTGACCTCATCCCCCCCCAGTCAAATTATGTTTCATCGGGTCGTCGGGTGCAGATGCGCCCTCGTACCGTCGGTCAATTTGTGTTTGTCGCGCAAGTCACGGTCTACTGGGGTTTCCAAAACTAGAATGGACACACCTATTCGCCGGTTTTGGTTGGCGATAGTACGGGAAACGAAGCGGTGGCCTCGAGCGTAAATGTTCAGTTCAGCTCAGTTTACCGCCGACTCGTTTTGCACACCACCCAATCGCTGGTTCATATCAATGAATGTTCATCGCACTGAGGGCATTGCAACCACTGTGTGATGTGACAATATGCAGTTTGTCGTGTTTCGCTCTTGCTGTTTCTATTTTCCACAACTATATCATAATTTTTATGTGGCGATGTCCCGTTCGAGAACCAACTCAGCTTTAAACATACCTCATTTTACTGTTATCACGCGATGTAGTTTCGATCATGGCCCGTTTTGCTATAAGTTTATGCTGTCATTTTTCGGCTTTCCTGTATTACGTATTTTTCCGTTCGCAAACTGACATTCAGCATTCATCTTCATCACACACATTTAAGGGGTTTTGCCATTGTTGGACCAAGTTTCCAGACGACAGATTTTACTTGTAAAATTCTCATCAAATGATTAGTTCGTTTCCAATCGTCACAGCTTATAGTGCACGCTGTTGGAAGTATTACTGGCCATTCGAAATTCCTTGATCTGTCGATTGCATTACGGAGACATATGAGAATCATTATGGTCTTACGATTCACCTATTTAATTCACATAAGGTATCTTAGCTAAACGTGTGGTTGCTGTTACTATGGTCTATTTTCATTTACCTGATAACTAATCTATTTATCAAACTAGCCAAGGTCGTCCACCGAAGCAATTGGTCGACCTCCATAAATTGCGCTGGTTGGGGCATGTTTTACGTATGTCACCAAATTAATTTCCACGGTGCGTGATGTTTGCCGAGACAGGTAGTGGGTGGAAAAATCTCAAGGATGGTCAAACTGAAAGAAGCTATGAAAACCCAAACTAGGAGACTCGGTCACATAGGGAGCGCTTTAGGTTCCCCGGATGAGGAGTACCTCAACATCGTTGTAATCAATGGTTAGAGACACTGAGCGATATGACTGAATGTCGGAAACAGTGGCACTCGTGCACCTTCTCATTTGTTTTGTATCATCATCGTCATCGTACAGTGAAATACCGTGAAGCGAACTTCACTGACCGCTGTCAAACTCACAATGCATACAGGGTTAGTGGTAAAATTTAAGGTGGACAGGGATTGGACCTATTTTGAGGAAGGGGGAAGGAGATGAGCCACTATGGTCAGCACACAGTATGCAATCGAACTCTACATACATACCGTTTCAAGCATTCTGACCTGATAAGAAACAATAACAAGAACGCCACTGCTGCCGGTTGGCTGCCATATTCCTCAGTGTCTCCAACCAACCAGTTATGGAGTCTTTCGGGCCCCAGCCTGGATGGCGCGTGACAAATAACCTACCTGATGACCTTGTGCATTTCTTCATGCCTCGTCTCCACGTCATCTGTTGACCTCCGCGTGGTTTCCTCCAGCCCGGATTAGCTACAGCGAATAAAGCGCGGTGCGGCAGACGATGGCTGGGCATACGCAATACGTGCCCTAGCCAGCGAAGTCTACTTATCTGAATTCGGTGAGCAGGTTTATGCCTGACAGACTCCCAAACACACGACGGCTTACCTCCACGTTACTAACGCGTTAGCCCCATCCAACATGGGCTAAACTGCGTAAAGACCGATAATCGAAAACTTCTAGTCGACGGATATCTTCTACTCGCAAATTCAAGGTCTCAAAACCATAGAGCAGAAATGAACGAACGCTAGCATAATATACACGACCTTTCAATTTCAATGAAACGTCGCGTCCACACGTTGCCGCGTCCGTCGAGAGCGTGTCAGAAGTTGGTGCTTGATAGGAACAGATGATGATCTGCGCAGAACTGAATAAGTCGATCGCCGTTACCTGTTCGATGACAGGGCAGTGCACAACTACCTCCTAGACAAGATTCTGATGCGCTCAGTTTTCAAACTTGCGCGTTGAAGTCACCTGCAAGTACAACTATGTCGGAGCTTCG